GAGATGAATCTCAAATTTGTGTTTCCAGCCTAGATCTCTCCTTGGGCCTCCTGTTGTAAACATTTGTGTAACTATGTGATGTCTTTATTTGCTTATGTTAAAGATGCCTCAGAACAACACATTTAAAAGATTGCCTGGGGCGCCTGGGTGGCTTGGTTGGTTAAGCGTCCAACTTTCGCTTAGGTCATGATCTCGCGGTTCGTGGGTTCGAGCCCCGCGTCGGGCTCTGTGCTGACTGCCAGCTCAGAGCCTGGAGCCTGTTTCAGTCTGTGACTCCCTCTCTCTCTGACCCTCCCCTGCTCACGCTGTCTCTCTCTCTCTCTCTCTCCTAGAAATAAATAAAACATTAAAAAAAAAAAAATAAAACCGATTGCCTGATACACGGCCAAGTTCTCTGTCCACCCGGGAGGAGCCTTTTCCAATCCTTGTCTTAATGACACTCGCTGTCCTATCAAATTGCACCAGCCAGAAATCTATGAATGGTTTCTACACACCCCTCTTTCTCCTTTTCCGGTTCATCGCTGCATTGATCTGATTTTATTGTTAGTATTTTGTCATTCTTAGCATCCCTCCATCACCCTTGTGTTTGCCTGGACTACCCTGAGATTTCCGTCATTCTTTATATCACGGTGAGGGCGAGGTTTTCAAAATACAAATCTGATGGGGTCCCCCTTTTGCTTAAAGTGTTTCAGTGTCTTCAGTGTCTTGCTCTTAGAATAACGATCAAAATCCCTGAGGTCGACAAAGTCTTGTAAAGTCTGGCTTTTAGTCATCATTCCAACCTGATCTCACACCCGCTCTCCCTGTTTTTGTACTCTTAACTTAGCAGGTCTTAGGTACTCTGGCATCAAGTTTAAGATGCCAGCTTAAACAGCTCACGCTGTCTCTCTCTCTCTCTCTCTCAGAAATAAATAAAACGTTAAAAAAAATTTTTTTAAAGAACAAAACAATTATAAACCCATTACATGTCAGTGGAGATAATATAATTTTTATGAACACAACTATTTGCTGCAAAAAAGATGTATTCAAAAGAATGCATTGTTTTACATTTTTACAAATCTGTATTCTCCTGCTTCTGAATGCAGTTTGTTGTGATATGTTGTTCTGCTTGACTTGTGTGAAAGAAATGCAGCCTCACTCCAGTACATAGTTGAAAAACAGAGGAGTATTTTAGGTGTTTCAGAGAAGTGTGGCTGTTCTGATACTACTCCGAAGCTGGACACGTGGTAATTTCTTAAAGAGGAGATACAGTGTGGCATCTGAAATCAGAGCTGTCAAGTTTTCATATTCTTTTGTTAAAATCTACTGATCTTTTGGAAAGTAGTGGTTCACTGAGTTATGCAGATCTTCTAAGTACTGACACATTACATTCTACAGCTATTTTTTAAATCACAACTTAAAAATAATTTTTTTAATGCTTATTTTTGAGAGAGACAGAGTGTGGGTGGGGGAGGGGCAGAGACAGAGGAAAACACAGAATCCTTAGTAGGCTCCAGGCTCCCAGCTGTCAGCACAGAGCCCAGCACGGGGCTCGAACTCAAGTACCACGAGATTATGACCTGAGCCGAAGTTGGACCCTTAACCGACTGAGCCACCCAAGCACCCCATTAAATCACAACTTTTAATATTACCACTGACCTTATCAGAAGAGTCTTTAAGGATTAAGAAGCGACCCAACTCTCAGTGACAGGTACAAGTTTTCCAAGATTCTGGTTTCTGCCTGAAAGGTGAAATTTTATTGAATGCTCTTGATTGTTTTCCTTGAAGTGACGGGCTCACTTCATACCTGCCAGATACTCAACTTGGATTACGTGGTTTGGATAAATTTGTGGCTAGTTCAGCTCACAGCTCAAATGATGTTACAAGTGGTTCGCTTCAAGACACCCATCATACTTGGATACGAACAGATTTGTCTTATGAATATTCCCTGTCTCATCAATTCAGAATTTTTAAAAGACACATCCTCGAAGTCTGAAATTTAATAAAGCTAATAATGTTTACTGTTTCCTCAGACATTTTTAAGTGAAACTGTATTTTTTCTTTTTTTTTTATTTTCTCTTAATGGTTTATTTATTTCTGAGAGAGAGAGAAAGACAGTGTGAGCAAGGGAGGGTCAGAGAGAGGGAGATACAGAATCTAAAACAGGCTCCAGGCTCTGAGCTAGCCTGCACAGAGCCCGACGTGGGGCTTGAACCCATGAACCGTGAGATCATGACCTGAGCTGAAGCCGGGCGTTCAACCGACTGAGCCACCCAGGCGCCCCTGGATTTTTTTTTCTTAACTGCGAGGACACGGCAGGGAGGAATACAACCACCAGTACGTTTGTTGTCATTGTCCTGATTTGCACTAAGTCAGGAGCACTTTCGCCACGTTTACTTGTGCGACATCAGCGTAAGTGATGAGACAACGAGTGAGGCAGAAGACATCTACGCATTAGATGGAAAATAGTTTGGAACCTCTGGCCCGCCAGGGGTGTACGGACCACACTTTGAGATTCCTACCTGCTTTCTTCCATCAGCCTTATATCAAGTTTTGTTTGATGTGTTTAGCAAACACTTATCAGCACTTGCTGTGTTAGAGTTTTCAGCGGTTTATACTCATTTAGTGCTTCTTTAGGTAGGTATTGTCATTATTCTTCATGAAGTAGGTACTGTTAATGTCCATCTTACACATAAGGAAACCGAAGGAGAGAGGTCGAATAACTTGGGCCAGGTCACAGAGCTGGGATTAGGTCCATGCAGTCTGATTCCAGAGTCCTTGCTTTGAAAGGCTGTGCTTTCCTTGTGTGTCCCTCTCACCTTGGGGCTTTTGTGCCTAGCATTCCCTCTGCCTGGAATGCTCACCCCTGTGCTTTAGTACTTGTCACCCTGGGACACTCACCCAGACTCCAACCCCACTTTCATTTCAGCTCAACGATTTACTTCCTTGAGGAAGTCTCCCCTCATCTCCCTAGGTTTCCCCTCTACGTTCTTGCATAGTGTCATTTGCCTCTTATTCCTCAGTACTTAATTACTACGGGTGCATTTTATACATGCATTTGTGAATGTTGGCCTAGATTCTCCACCCCTTCCTGTGCAGACTGCGTGTGTCTTTCCCAGTGCCTAACACAGAGCCTACTGTATGGTAGATACTCAGTAGATAACCGTTGAATACTCGGATAGAAGAGAAGCTCGGTGAAGGAATAGAATTCATTTGACTATATAGCATGAGAGCCATCTAACTTAATTTTCTTCTTTTTTTGATGTTTATTTTTGAGAGAGAGCATGCAAGCAGGAGAGGGGCAGAGGGAGAAGGAGACAACAGAATCCAAAGAAGGCTTCAGGCTCTGAACTGTCAGCACAGAGCCCATTGCAGGGCTCAAACCCATGAGCTGTGAGATCATGACCTGAGCCAAAGTCAAACACTTAAACCACCTGAGCCACCAAGGCACCCAAACTTAATTTTCTTATAAATGTCTTATCACTTGCGCCATTTGTTGGAAAACAAATTATCTTTTATCTACTGACTGAAATACCACCTTTGTATTGGTTTTAATCGTATACGCTTGACTATTTCTGAAATTGCTCTACTGTTTCATTGATCAATCTATTGGTTTAACCACACTCTTTAATTTACTTTAGCTGTATAAAGTAGTTTTATATTAGATATAAAAATTCTAATACAATATTTAGACAGTTCTAGCTTCCATCCCTGCCCTCCTCTATTCTGACACTTTCCTCATAGGCAGCCATTTTAATTAGTATTTCATTAATCTGTCCTTGAGTTTTGAAAATACAACCAAATATATAGGTATATTTGTATCTCCTCCCCCCCCCTTTTTTTTTCTACACAAAAAGTAATAAACTATACACACTCGCTTGCAGCCTTCTGGTTTTTAAAAAAATTATTTACTGGGGCGCCTGGGTGGCTTAGTTGGTTAAGCGTCCGGCTTTCGCTTAGGTCATGATCTCGCGGTTAGTGGGTTCGAGCCCCGTGTCGGGCTCTGTGCTGACTGCCAGCTCAGAGCCTGGAGCCTGTTTCAGTCTGTGACTCCTCTCTCTGACCCTCCCCTGCTCACACTGTCTCTCTCTCTCTCTCCTAGAAATAAATAAAACATTTAAAAAAATGGTTTACTGTATACTGGAGAGAACTTCATACCTATATATGGAGATCTTTCTGATTTTTCTTTTTTTTTGATCATTGGATTAAATTTTTATTATTTATTTATTTATTTGTTTGTTTGTTTACAAATAGTTTATTGACTTTCTGATTTTTTAAAAAGTTGCCTAGCACTCCATTTTATGTCTACACCATAGTGTATTTAATGAGTTCTCTACAGTAGAATGTTAAGATGTTCCAGTTTTATGTCTACATTATAATGTGTTTAATGAGTTCTCTATTTTATAGGTAGAGATTTTATATTTAAGATTTACCAGTCTTTTGCTGTCTCAATTAGTGTTACAATGAGGAGTCTTGTGTAGGTATAATTTCATATATTTGCTACTATACCTTTGGGCGATCATAGGAGATTTTTGATCAGAGATGTATTATAAAAGCATTGTGAGGGAAGATTAGAATGGAAATGGGATGCATATTTGGACACGAGTAGGATCGGATGTCTGGAAACCCAGAAGTCATAACTGTCCTCTACACTAAAGTGATAACTGTGTATTTATTACAGAAGTCCATAATTCAACAAGAATTTATTTCTCCCCTCTGCTGATGTAGTGTGCTCAGTACCTGCTTGTCCAGTGATGTATTGCTTCATCTGCATCTCTCCTTCTTCTGTATTTCTGGTCATCTGTATCCCCTTTTGACTGTCCTGGATAAGGTCTACTCATTTTCTCCACATATACCTTGCAAATTGTTTCCTTCCTTTTGCTTCTCTTTGCAAATTGCCTTACAAAAGTCAAATCCACTTACTCCTTGAAAGCATGCTTTTCATCTTCATTAGCTGTTACAGAATCGCCTTTTGTTGAGCACTGAAAACAAAGGGAATTTGCATTTCCAATTTCTTTCAGACCTGGAGGCCAAACCTGAGGGCAAAGATTCAACTTCAGCGCAAGATATTTCCAAAGAAGAATCATGCCAAGCTGCAGTAATAGACAGACTGGCAGGGAATGGTGTCTGTGACTCCGGCTCAGAAACAGCTGTTGAATGTGAAAATTGGGTAGAGAGTCCGCAAGGAAATCAGGAGAGACACTTGAGAGAAATGTTCACCCATGTGAACTCACTCCCTGAAGAAGGAGCTCATGAGCATGACGTATATTGGAAAAACTTTAGTCAGAAGTCTGTTCTTCTCACTCAAGACAGAGTTCCCAAAGGACCCTATCCCTTCCATACACTTGAGAAAAGGTTGAAACCGAAATCAAACTTAATGAAAAAGCAAAGAACCTGTAAAGAGAAAAAGCCTCATAAATGTAACGATTGCGGTGAGCTCTTCACTTATCATTCAGTGCTGATTCGGCACCAGAGAGTCCATACTGGAGAGAAACCCTACAGCTGCAGTGAATGTGGGAAATCTTTTAGCCACAGAGCTAATTTAACTAAACATCAGAGGACTCATACCAGAATTCTCTTTGAATGCAGTGAATGCAAGAAGGCCTTCACAGAAAGCTCCTCCCTTGCAATACATCAGAGAATTCATATTGGGGAGAGACCGTATGAATGCAATGAGTGTGGAAAAGGTTTTAATCGAAGTACACATCTTGTACAACATCAGTTGATTCATACTGGAGTGAAGCCGTATGAATGCAATGAGTGTGATAAAGCCTTCATTCATTCATCAGCTCTTATTAAACATCAAAGAACTCATACTGGAGAGAAACCCTACAAATGTCAGGAATGTGGGAAAGCCTTTAGCCATTGCTCATCCCTTACTAAGCATCAGAGAGTTCATACTGGAGAAAAGCCATACGAATGTAGCGAATGTGGAAAAACCTTCAGTCAGAGCACACATCTTGTTCAGCATCAGAGAATCCACACTGGAGAGAAACCCTATGAGTGTAACGAATGTGGGAAAACCTTCAGCCGGAGCTCAAATTTTGCTAAACATCAAAGAATTCATATTGGAAAGAAACCATACAAATGTAATGAATGTGGGAAAGCCTTCATTCACTCGTCAGCTCTCATTCAACACCAGAGAACTCATACTGGAGAGAAGCCTTACAGATGTGACGAATGTGGGAAAAGCTTTAAGTGCAGTTCGTCCCTCATCAGACATCAAAGAATTCACACTGAAGAGCAACTCTGAAAGATTAGTGAATGTGAAGAGATGTAAGTTGGTTTTATCACTGTGTTAAATACCTGAGCATTTTGGTGGAATACCCATAAAATGCTGCTGAAGGACCAATGTGTACGCATCTGATTTTACTTGCATAATACATAGTTTTGAGCCATAAACAGAAGGTTCGTTCTGTCCATTGATTTAATCAGTGTGAAAGCTTCTAGCCAAGGATCTCAAATTTTGACCCTATCCCCCACCCCCCACCACTACCAAATACTCTTTCATGGAAATTCAAGAAATCCTTGTGAGTGGATAGTAATATAATCATCGTAAGATCTGGGTCCTCCCTCTTTGTCACATCGAAGCCCTCTTATAGCTTCTCATTCTGAATGGAAATTCTTAATTCGATAACTTGGGCAGAGGACCCATATCTTTATCATCAGGAAGACACAGAGTGAGTGGTTCCTCTTTGGATCCAAAGTAGATCTCCACATATACAGGTGGTGTCATTTCTCCAGAGAGGGTAATTTCTTTTACATTAGCTATAAAACTTAAAGGTTAAAAGTCGAAACATGCTTTGGATCCTCTCCTTTCCCCAAAGGCTACTGTCTCATTGGATGCACGTAAATAAAATGTATTTACAGGAGGTTTTAAGTCACATTCACCTAAGATTATGCTGGTCATCGGTTTAGAGAATTGTGAGCCCTCTGCTGTGTAGATCTTTTCCTACTTCCTTGGAATTACCCTGAAGTTGAGAATGGGTCAACATCTTAACTGTAGTTTTCAGTCAAATGCCTCTTTTCTCATCCTTGGCATTGAAGGAATCCTTGTTTGTTTGGTTGTTTGTTTGTTTTATAATCAATTGGAGATTTCATTTCTTTACATCATTTTGCTTTCTGTAATCTATGCTTGGTCACATTGAGGAAAAAGCCCCCCAGGTGTCAAGGGTCTGAGAAGTTGATGAGTTCAATGTGTTACTATATTTAGGGTCCCAGTCAAGAAGAATCACTGAAACAACTGTGAGACACAGCACACAACTTCCTGTCAGATACGGAAAATAGTTCAGAGAATTGTGACTCACTGGAGGATAAGCATCTTCCCTCCATGAAGAAGAGGTTGCCATTTCTCTGGCTCTTAAATCTATCCACATTTTTTGTTATTACTGCTCTCCCTAAGTGTGTTTTGGTCTTTGCTATATCCCAGAGCCATAAAGAAGGTAGAAAAGACCTGAAACCACAACGATGACTTGACATGTTACATGGGTGACCAAAAGCCAGCGGCGGGATTGGAAAAGCAAAAGTTCAAATAAATATATAGCCAAACGCTATGCAAATGTCAGTTTTTATTGTTACTCTATTGTATGAAAAGATTGTAGAAAAGGTAGAAGGAAAATAGTTACAGATTTCTTCTCTCTTCACCTAACTTCTGTCCTTTATGAGCATTTCGGCAACCGGTCCGTGCTCTTGCCTTCTCCACCCTATCCTTGTTATTTCTTACACTCCCTTCTCTGTAAACCTTAGTTGTATTATTGAGGAAAAGTAGAGGAATAGATTTTAAAGAAGTGGTAGTGGAGAGCAAACAAGATTCATAAGGATGAAGGAGTTAAATCCAGCAGCGATGAAAATCAAAACAATAGGAGATGGGACTGAAAGGGCTGGAAAGAGGTTTGGGAAAGAACAAAAGACCCATTGAGAAGGTGGAGGGAAGGCTCAAGGTCTAAGAGGTCAGAGTAGGAGGCTGACACAGGAACTAGGGAAAGGCACTTAATCCTTTTCACCGCCTCAATACTCCATGTTCACGGAACAGACTATGGCCTGGACCCATGGACCAAGTCCAGCCTTCTGGCCTGTTTCTCTAAACACAAGGCTTAGTTGGATCTTGACCGCACCCATTCATTTACGTTTCTTGGTGCTACAACGGTAGAGTCAAGTAGTTGCCGTAGAGATTGTATGTCCCCACAAGCCTAAAGTACCTGAATTTCTCATTATGCCCAACACTTGAGTGAAAATAAAGTCATCGTTTGGGGGCCAAAATGTGACTAACAAAGTAAGATCCATGTGGGCTTTTCAAAGTTGGGTTTGAATTCTACCACCTCCACTTAGCTTTTATGTGACACTACTGCCTCTGAGTCTCAGTGTCTTTATCAGTAAAAACGGGAATAAGTCCTTCTTCTCTCCTAAGGTGGTGAGGATTAGATAAGAATGCATGTAAAAGAGCCGGCACATGATAGATTATGTAGAAAGCTTCTATGTGTATGTGTATATGTATATGTTCGTAAATATATACATATATATACATATTTTAACGAAGCATCTGTCCATTTGGGCTGCTACAACAAAATAACTCAGACTGAGTGGCTTACAAACATTCTCACAGTCCTAGAGACTGGCAAGTTCAAGATCAAGGCCTCAGCCCATTCAGTGTCCAGTGAGGGTCTCCTTCCTGGTTCAGGGACAACCATCTTTTTCTTGGTAAAAGGGCAAGGGGGCTCTCTGGGGCCTCTTTTATAAGGGCAGTAATCCTATTATAAGAATTGAGCCCTCATGACCTACTCACCTTCCAAAGACCGCTCCTCCTAATACTATCACTCAGGGGATTAGATTTCAAGATAAATAGGGAGATAAAAACTCAGTCTATATCGTAAGTGGCTAAACATGGATCAAGTAGAAATTATTTAAGAATGAATGTATCTTACACCTCTTGTTTACCAGTCAATAACTGTGACCATCCTACTATCTAGCTCATCATAGAGAAGGGGCTTCTCTTTCTGCTCTTGCCTCCATCCGGTGCTGCTTCCTAAGAGCCTCCCTGAGACCTTGGGGAGTCTACGTTTTTCCCTTCAGAGTACCACGTAACCAGGAACGATCTGACAGTTCCAAAGACTCAAGTTTGTAATCTTTTCAGTTTCAGTAGCATTAAGAAATTTGCTCTGAGTTAGTTTTACTGAGAACTCTGACCCTTTACATTTCAGTATTTGTTCTGTTTATGCTCAATGTTCGATCTATGTGTTTGTACTCCAACGTGATTCTTGGAAGTGTTGATGTTCCACTTTTCCAGTGTTTTGGGTTACCTATAAAACCAAATTTGACTGCTCTTACTGGTCCACTGTCAATAAAGATGTTGTTTATATATGTGTGTGTATATTGTCAGAAACGTTTGTAAATTGCTTCTGAAGTTTCCTAATTTAAGCATATTTTAAGAGGCAAAGAAAGACTTCCCATAAAATCATTCAGGAAACTGATGACATTTCTAATTGTTCGTCTGGGCTTCACCACTTCTCAGACATGGGCTGGGAAATTCCCGCCACAGCCCATGTATCTGCAAGAAGGTTAAAGAGTAGAGGAGGATTGTTTCTACCAAATGGTCTTGAGTCCTCAAGCCAAGTGCAGGGCGTGATGGAGAAAAACACGTACCACTCATTTAGCAAGAGTAACTATGAAAAGTACAGTTATAGCTAGACAAGATCAGGTAGACTGACTTAGTGTAAATTTTAAATTACATCCGGCTTTTGGGAGGACATATAACCACCCAAAGCATGAAAACAATAGTACTGGGGTGCCTGGGTGGCTCAGTCGGTGGTGTCCGACTTCAGATCAGGTCGTGATCTCACATTTCGTGAGTTCGAGCCCTGCATCATGCTCTGTGCTGACCTCTCAGAGCCTGGAGCCTGCTTTGGATTCTGTGTCTCCCTCTTTCTCTACCCCACCCCTACTTGTGCTCTGTCTCTCTCTCTCTCTGTCTCTCTCAAAAATAAATAAACATTTAAGGGGCGCCTGGGTGGCTTAGTCGGTTAAGCGTCTGACTTTCGCTTAGGTCATGATCTCGCGGTTCGTGGGTTCGAGCCCCGCGTCGGGCTCTGTGCTGACTGCCAGCTCAGAGCCTGGTGCCTGTTTCGGTCTGTGACTCCCTCTCTCTCTGACCCCTGCCCTGCTCACGCTGTCTCTCCCTCTCCTAGAAAAAAAAAAAAAAGAGTAAATTACAATATGAGATCCATTAATTAAAAAAAAACATTTAAAAATAAATAAATAAATAAATAAACATTTAAAAAAATTTTGTAAACAGTAGTACTGTATAAGAACACCAAACAGTAAAATTAGTTGGCAATGAACTGTCTACTAAAAGTTTCCAATAACTTTATTTTCCTAGGTGAGTTTTCATTTTGTAAGATCCCAACAGGACTCAGCAGGAAGATCTTTGTCCCTGGTTGGTCCCTTTCTTTACCTAATTGTTTTTAGGCCCCAATGGGGCAGTGTTGAAATCCAGACCCACATGAGCTGTCCCTCAGTACAGGCTTTATTGGCAAGGGGAAAGGGTGTGCCCCTGTGGGAATACATATAGCATGACATCTGTGGATTACCTTGTAGTTCCAATTGATGGCCCACAAAAAATCAGATATTTTCATTGAATTTTTCTTTATATTTTTTACAACCATAGCCTCTGTTATTTTTTAGCCTGTTAGTCCATAAACCAGATAATCTGCCCTTAGATTGAGTAGACTACATGAAATATGGATACTTTACTCTCCTTCCCACTCCTGCCAATTCACCCATAAACATTATTACCATGTCCGTAAAGTTCACGTGTCTGGGAATGCCAGAGACTCGGGCATTTCTTGGTCAAGGACTCCATCTCTGCTCTGTTTTGTTTTTGTTTTTGTTTTCTGTGTGGGCTATATTCTGTCTTCTCCAATGATGACAAATACACCTACTGGCAATTCCAAGTTAGTATAGTTCTAAGCCTTTACAATCCCAAGAATACTTCTTTCTAAATAGCTCCAGCAAAATCCACAAGGCTACTTCTCAGCTTTGCTTGAGATCATGCTGATTGATCACCGAGCCATTTACTGCTTTGAATTGGGATCCTGTCATTGACCAGGCCTGAGTCAGTGTAAAACCCCAGAGCAGGGGAGGGTGAAGCCCATTCCTCTCAACCTGCACTGTGGTGGGGAAGGGCTGCTTCTCTGAAAGAAATCCAAGGATGCAGAGCAGGTAAAACAAACATTGTCCACTGCAATTGAATAGCAGCCTTCAGTGTGAAGAAGTCTCTCAATCTGTGTCCCCAGAAGAGCTTTCTCCAAAGATCAGTGACACACTGATAGAAAAAAGGCCAATGGGGCGCCTGGGTGGCTTAGTCGGTTAAGCGTCCGACTTTCGCTTAGGTCATGATCTCGCGGTTCGTGGGTTCGAGCCCCGTGTCGGGCTCTGTGCTGACTGCCAGCTCAGAGCCTGGAGCCTGTTTCAGTCTGTGACTCCCTCTCTCTCTGACCCTCCCCTGCTCACGCTGTCTCTCTCTCTCTCTCCTAGAAATAAATAAAACATTTAAAAAAAGAAGAAATAATTACGTCAATGCAAGGTGTGAATCAACTATATATAAAAACACTGACGTAATTTAAAAAAAAAAAAAAGAAAAGAAAAGAAAAAAGGCCAAGACCTAAGAAAATATTTACAACATTGACTTCATAAGATTTCTGTGAGGATTGCATATGTGAAAATGCTTTGTAAGCTATAAACATGTTGTAGTTACATTATGATGATGAAATTTTTCTATTCTTTAATGTCAGGCTCTGGCATATATACAGTAAGCATGGATTTCTCACCAGAGTGCCAATTCTTTTTTATTTTTTTTTAATGTTTATTTACTTATTTTGAGAAAGAGAAAATCCCAAGTAGGCTGCATGCTGTCCGCACAGAGCCCTACTCGGGGATCGATCCCATGAACTGTGAGATCATGACGTTAGCCAAAATCAAGAGTCAGATGCTCAGCCAACTGAGCCACCAGGTTCCCCTGCTGTGCCAATTCTTTTTTTTTTTTTTTAACGTTTGTTTATTTTTGAGAGAGAGCACAAGCAGGGGAGGGGCAGAGAGAGAGAGAGAGAGAGGAAGACAGAGAATCCAAAGCAGGCTCCAGGCTCCGAGCTGTCTGCACAGACCTGAGCCTAAGTCAGATGCGAAACTGACAGAGCCACCCAGGCACCCCCCAGAGTGCCAATCTTAACGCTAACTTGTCCTGTCTATCGTGGGTTGGCAAAGAGTCTTTGCTCATCAATGGTTATGTTTCCAAGTTGATATAGAGCAGCCACCATCTTAAATGTTACTTTTGCCATAGCAAATGTGGTTATTTTATGTGGGGTTGAATTCAACTCCCAGTCTTATGGTCCACGCATCTCATATTGTAGTGACTTAAACCTACTAGCCTATCCAGGACTCTGATTAGTGAAAACACATTTCAGCAAGCTTTAACGGCTTACCATGATTACATTAGACAGTTTAAGGGTTAGACATAGCTTAAGATATGACTACATTCAGGTGTTCAAAGATGTCATCAGATCATGCCCTTACTATCTTAGCTCTTTTTCTCTAGATTGATTTTATTCTCAGGCAGACAGAATGGCATAGATGGTCATTGGCAGCTTTTGACTTGAGTTACCCTGGCAGCTGTTGATTCCAAAGAAAAGACTATTTTATTGTCTGTGGGGCCATTAAAAGTTGCAGGGTAGATTCTGATTGAATGGCTTGGATCACAGACCCATGGAACCAATCACAATGGCCAAAGGAATTGGGTATTCTGACATGGTTCAAGGTAGAGTGGAATTTAGCCTTATCCAAAATGGTGGCATGGGTTTTCCACAAGGACTCTGTTACCAGAAGGGGAGAAGGGAATGTGTGCCGAACAGAAAAAGAAAAAAAAAATCAACGATCTCAGGATCTAGGCCATCCAACCCAGGGACAGAGACTTAACGTACTAAGAGAGTACGGAATGAGGGCATTATGCCTCCTATAGACCTGGAAGAGGATAGAGCAAGAAAACAAGCAGTGTGAACATGGATTAATTTACTTGTTTGTCTTCTTCAGAAGCTGTAGTTTCTCTCAGATTTATGGCAACTCAGAAGGGTTGAAGAACTTGGCTTTTTACCTACAGGAATCTTCTTTCAAAGGACCTCATGTACACGTGGACATAAATATTGAAACACAGATCTTTCATGTCCCCACAGAAAAGGACATATGAGTTTGTCAGTCCTTAATTACATTGCCTTTTATATTTAGAGCCGTTTATGCATAACAACTCAACTTGAGTCCCATTCTATTATACGTGATAGGCACAGCTGAAGGAGAGGGAAATCTGAGGTTTACCTGGTGGTGGGGAAGACTGGCTACATCTACTCCCAGATACCCTCAAGAAGTGCTAAGAGAGAGAGAGAGGAGGTGGTATGTGATATTGACCCCCAGATCAGAGAAAGCTGTCCCAGATTTCCCCCATCACATAACTGGATTGTGAGGTTAGCAAACCACAGCAATATCCTTGTTTTCGCCTTCTCACTAGAACACCAATTCCTTTTTTTTTTTTTTAATTTTTTTTTTAATGTTTTTATTTATTTCTAGGAGAGAGAGAGACAGCGTGAGCAGGGGAGGGTCAGAGAGAGAGGGAGTCATAGACTGAAACAGGATTCAGGCTCTGAGCTGGCAGTCAGCACAGAGCCCGACGCGGGGCTCGAACCCATGAACCGCGAGATCATGACCTAAGCGAAAGTCGGACGCTTAACCGACTAAGCCACCCAGGCGCCCCTAGAACACCAATTCTTGATGCTTGCTTGTGTAACCTATTCCTTGTGGGCTGGCGGGAAGGCTCTCCTCATTATATTCATTCAGAAAGCCCAGCTGATGAAGCAGCCACCATCTCAAGCACTGCTTTTGCCATGTTAGAATGAGAGGAGGGATCTAAAGGGTCTTGCGCAGACACACTTCATTTCCACTCATATTTTATTCCCCCAAACAGGTCATGTGCCCCCCATCCAGCCTCAAATGAGGACCAGGAAAAACCATCTCCTTGGCAACACTTTCCTGGAAAGGAAGCCCACTCTCCCACTCTCCGCACATGTAGGATAAGTAGAAGGTAGCATGGCATTCTTGTGTGTTTTAAGCCTTCCTCATCACCCCTCATATGTAACCACTTTCTCTGTGCGTCGGACTATATACCATTCCTTCCCCTCTGCTACCATCTCCTGACTCCCTGCTCACTTCCCCATGTTCACTGAGCCTGTGGTCTCCTATCTTTTACTATTTCTCTCAATATCTACACCCAGGATTGTTCAGCAAGTACTTTGGAGCAACTGTTCTATGTGCCAGGCACTA